CTTTTGGTGTCTCCTGAGGGCGGGGCCAGCAAAGACACAGCTGAACCCAGGGGGCCCCCAGGGGCCCCCAGGGGCCCCCCTGCCATTTCGCTGTCCCCAGGAGCAGCAGCTGCAGCAGCAGCAGCAGCAGCATAATCATCATCATCAGCAGCAACATCATCATCATCATCACAAGCAGCAGCAGCAGCAACGGGAGCCTCAACAGCAGCTCCCTCGTCCCCATCTGCTGCTGCTTCTAATGCTTCAGGGGGCCCCAGTGGTTCATAAAGAGGGCCTCCAAGGGCAGCTGGGGGGGCCCCAAGGGGGGGCCCCCCAAGGGCCCCCTCTGGGGCCTCTTCAGGAACCCCTTTGGGGGCCCCTTTGGCAGCAAAAGGGGCCCCCAAGGCCTCTGCAGCAGGGGCCCCCTCAGGTGACCCCAGGGGGGTCTCTTTAGCCCCTCCTGGGGCCCCTGCAGGGGCCCCCTCTGCTGCTGCTTCAGGGGGCCCCTCTAGGGCCCCCTCAGGGGCCCCCCTTGGGGGCCCTTCCCTCAAGTCCCCTTCACTAGGGGCCCTTTTCAGGCTGTTCTTTAGCATATCTCCGGGGGCCCGCCCTGGATGCCCCTCGGGGGCCCCCCCTGGGGGCCCCCCTAAAGCCCCCTCTGGTGCCCCCTCCGGGGCCCCCTCTGGGGCCCCCTCTGGGGCCCCCTCTGGGGCCCCCTCTGGGGCCCCCTCTGGGGCCTCCCCAGGAGCCCGCCCTGGGGGCCCCTCTAGGGCACTTTCTGGGGGCCCCTCTGGGGCCCCCTCTAGGGTTTCTTCGGGAGACAATTTCAGATCTTCTGGTGATGAAGCTCCAGGGGGGCCCCCAAGAGCTTCTCCAGGGGCCTCCTTTGGTGCCCCTGTGGGGGACCCCTCAGTGTCGGCCCCCGGAGGCCCCTCAGGTACAGCTGGGGGCCCCCCTGCTGCTGCTGCTGTGGGGCCCCCGCTGGGGGGCCCCTCCCCAAGACTTTTCCTTTGCTGCAGATCTTCACGGGGCGAGAAATTCCAAGGGCCCCCCTCTAACAGCCCTGTGGGGGCCCCCATGGGGGCCCCCTCGGGGGCCCCCTGAGGAGCCCCTGCGGGGGCTACCCCGGGGGCCCCCCCCC